TTTTACATTGTGTGTGTGTGTGTGTGTGTGTGTGTGTGTGTGTGTGTGTGTGTGACTTGTGGGATTTGGTTTTCTCCTTCTGTCATGTAGGTCATCAGGCACGGTGGCAAACACTTTTATCTGCTGAGCCATGTCACCAGCCTTGGAAACCTATTCCTGACCCCAGGTCTGCCACATACACGTCTCCTTTCCTTCCTTTGCAGCAGAAACTCCTTGAACTTTCTTGGGCTCCTATGTCCCTTTCCCACCGTCTCCTAAACCTCTCTAGCCCTGCACCTCTTCCTGTCAGAGCCAGCAGTGATATAAAGGTAATTTCTAATTATCATTTCATTTGAGGTGAGCTGCAGCTGCATTAGGGGTGGCTGGTCCCCTCTCCTCTCCTTCCTCCTCTTCCTTCATTTTATGGTGTTAGGATCAAACCCAGGGCCATGTATATACTAAGGATACAGTCTACCACTGAGTTACACTCCAGTACCTTTCTTCAAAAGAAAAGGTTTTTCCCCTTGCAATGTGAGGGTGGGGGAATCTGATCTTAAACTTGGAATCTAAGAGAACACATGAATCCATGTGGAATCACTCCCTCCAAACCGGCTCATATTTTCTCTCGGCCTCTGTCTCTTTCTGACAAGGTTTCACTCTGTAGCACAGGCTGGCCTGCAGCTCACTCTGTTACCTAGGCAGGTCTCTAACTTGTGGCAACCTGCCTGCCTCAGCATCCTGTGTGCTGGGATTACAGGGGTGGGCCACCATGCCTGGCAGCATGCTCATTATAAAACCAAAACCCAGAAATATATCATTTCAGTTGGTAGCACAATTTCATCTTTCCTGCTGCTCAGGCGGGATGAAGGCCCTGGCCTCTTTTCAGTTGCCTCTTTCCTTTACCATCTGTGTTTAATGGGGTTAGGATCTGTTGACTTCCCCTTCAGAGTACTTCCAGAATGTGACCAGCTCCCCATCCACTGATACTTCCTCCCTGGATTACAGTGACTGCTTTCTGATTGCCATCTGCTTCTGTCTTTGTCCACACGGGGCTTATTCTTTTTGTTCTTTTCTTTTTTTTTTTTTTTTTGAGCCAGGGTTTATTCTTAACCCAGTGGTCACCATAGTCAGATCGTGGCACCCCTCATGCTCAGAACCGTTCGGACTCCCATCTCTGAAAGCTACAAGGCCCTGACTGGGAACTCCTAATCTCCGCCTCCTGCCCTGCCCCTCTCTTGGCTCCGCCCACACTGCTTTGCTGTGATGTGGGTTGATTAGAGTTGTTCTGTCTGTTTGCAAAGCTCACTCTTCACCTTCCATTACTGCTGCAGGGTGACTAGCCTTCCAGTTGACCAAATGCCTGCAAACCTCTCTCCCACCTGCTCTTCTGCATCCCTCCGTATATCATTTACTATTTCTACTGTCTGTTTTGCACTAATTTCCACCTCCTCCCTCCAACTAGCTTGGCTCACCTGTAATTTTAGCCCATTAAACAGTGGGTGACAGATGCATGTCCAGTACAGTGGTCGAACAGGTGAATCGAGGGGTCCTCAACCCCGGCAAGACATTGGGAAGTGGCTAATGCACCGTCTAGTGAGTGGGTATAGTGACAAGACCTGAGGATTTGACTTTGTTCCAGGAAGCTTCCCGGTGGAGTAGGGCTTGGGAGAAAGCCTTAAAGATTGAATCAGACTTGGGAAAAGAAGGAAGAGGAGACAGGTCCAGCAGAGATCAGACTTTCTACAGGAGTAAGGGACCTAGGCAAAGCTCCTATTGGGACAGTCTCTGCAGGCCCTACAGATATTCTGCCAGCAGCCTTTCGGGGAGGGGGAGCTCAGAGAGACCCTCCCTCCCCTGGACCCTTTCCCCTTCAGCTCACGTAAGAGGTCGTTCCACACGGCTGCCCTGGCCTCCAATCACCTCTCCTAGGGCCAGGAACGCTTGTCCCAGGAAATCCTGTGCCAAGACAGGGAGTCAGCCAGACGGGGAGCGGCACTGAGCCCCAGACCCACCCGGTGCTGCTGCTGCTGCTCTTGATCAAGATAACTCCAAAGTGCAGGTGACAGAGGGCCATTGCCAGAGCCCAGCCCCACGTGTTCTCTGCTTCTTGATGATCTCCCAACCCAATTCTTCCCGGTGCAGCCCACAGCATCCTCACCTTCTGCAGGTCCCAGGAGGTAGGCAGAGAAGGAAGAACCACAGTGAATAAGGCTGGAGCACACCAAGGGAGGAGCTAGGGTGGGGGTTGGTGGGAGGCCAGAGGGGCCAGAACCTAAGAAGGGCTGGTGGGCAGGTGGGGAGTGTTCGGGACAAGTCCTTTGACAGGTTAGCCTCTCTCTGTGCCCAGGCAACCTGCCAGCCTCTGCTGGCTTACCGGTTTGGAGATGTTGGCTTTGGAGTCGACGTTGTACCTGGGAAAAGAGTGGAACCGGTGTGGGGTGGGGCTGGGTGGGAGGAAGTCTGGAAGAGGTTAGGTTCAGTCTTAGTTAAAATTATAGGTGGAGAACGGGGCAGCAGACCCCCATTCAACCTGAGTCTAGTTTGGGACGTGTGTCAGGGTCGAGAGGGTCATGCCTGGGGTGAAGCCAAGGTGGAGGATTGGTGGGGGAGGGGGCCCGAGGCCAAGGTGGAGTTAAATTAGATGGCAGGGTTGTGCATAGGGCCAGGCTCAGGGAGGAACTGGACGGATCCTGCCTAAGGCGGAGCCAACCTGAGGGTGGGGGTGGGGTTAAGACCAGAGGGATGCCCTTTGGAGAGGGTCCTGGGCCTGGGGGAGGAGCCAGGTAGGAAGGTAAGGCCTGGGGGGGCGGGGCCAGGCAGAATTCCGGGCTGATCCAGGTTGGGGAGGAGGGGCGGTAGACCAAGACAGGATTCTAGGAGCCTCACACATCGAAGCGGAGATTTTGCTTTTCTTCAAAAAAATAGTCGAGGACGAATTTGCGCACGAAGTCTGGGTTCAGTGTGTTGTCAATCACCTCCGTTCGTCCGAACTGGGCGGGGGGACGGAGGATGAGCGCGGGCAGCCGGGCTGGAGGTTCCCGGGAGCGGCCCTGAGCTGGGCTGGGGCTCTGGGACTCACCTCCCGCCACTCCTGGCTGGCTCGGCTCTGCGTGTGAAGCACCACCACTGCGGGTGAGGGCAGGGGAGGGGAGCTCGTCAGGTCGGCCCGCACCCCTCACCGCCCCACCCGCTCCTGCACCCCGGGTTCTTCCTCCAGGCCCTGGAGCCGCTTACTGGGGTCCGACTTGGAGAAGGTGTCCAGGTCTAGCAGATTCCTAGAGAAAAGCAACCACCAGATGGACAGAGGGCTAGCTCATTCTGCAGCCCACCACCTTGACAGTCCTAAACTGGGCACCCGGAAGAGACATGGGATTCAAATCGTACTCCCTCCCTATTACTATTCCCAGTGAGTGTAGGGGTCCACACTCCGCATTCGGGACGGTACCAGAAATCTCTGCCAATTGGCTCCATATGTGCTCACACTGTCTCCAAGGACCAAGGAGGCGGCTCGCCCCAGAACTTTGGCCCCTTGTGGCCCAGCTCTTAAGGAATCCCTGCAGCCCACCTTTTGAATTGGTAGGCTTGAGCCCGCTTCTATAGGGTGGGGCTGCCCAGGGAGACCCCCCCTCCCATTCCTGCCAATGATGACTCCCGCCTTCAGCCTCGGTTCTCTTGTCCCTGCTTCTGGTAGTCCCCTCTGTGGTCTAGCCCCCTGCCCACCCCGAGCCCGCAGCTGCGTGGGGCTGGGGCATTGCCAGTACTTAAACCCTCCCTAGCGCGGCCCGCTCACCGGCACGACACAGTAATTTCAATCTTGGTGGCCGGGACGCTGCGCTCCGAGGCTCCGCTGAGAGACATGGCTAGTCCAGTGGCCAAAGCCGTGGTGGGCGATGGGGGGCTGCAAGACCCCGGCCGCCTGAGCTAGGGGCGGCGGCGAGGCCGGCCCATGTGCCAAGGCAGCGGTGCTCTCCAGCCCTGTGTGCGCTCCGCTGCTCGCGCCCTGACAGTGGCCGCTGGCAGCAGCGGCTCCAGATGGCAGCACAGCCCCGCCCGGCCCTGCGGGCGGCCCCCGCCCCATTGGAGCAGCCTGGAGCTGGTTGGGAACCTCATCCAGACCCCAACTCTGACCTACACTTCCTCTGGAGCCACCACCGGGGCACTGAAAACCTCAGCACTATCCATGGTTCTGAAACACTTGGGGTGGGAGTTGGTAGACTCCGATTCTAAGGGGCTCTCACCATCTCTTCCTTTCCTCTTCCTGGGCCACCTTCGCCTCTGGATATGAAGCTACATTTTCCCCTTAATAATTGTGTGACCTTGAACAAGTTACTCAATATTAGTGGTTAAGGCTCTATTAGCAGCTACTGGGGTATTTTAAACAGGCTTAGTGACCTCTGGGTATTGACACTGATGGCCTGTCAGATCAGGAGTCTGGGGACATAGTTTATTGTGCAGCACTTGTCTACTGTATGCAAAGCCCTGGTTTCTAGTCCCAGTACAGGTGTGAGGGGATCAGAGAATGGTGAATTCTATGAAACCCTTGATGCCTTTGAAACTTGACACTCATAAAGCAGATCCCCTCCCATGTGTGGCCACTGCAGCCTCCACAGCCCAGAAGCCTGTCCCTCTACTATTAATTCAGATCTTCCATCCCACGATGTTGTTGCTTCAGAATCTGCTAAAGATGCAAATCCACACCCTGAGCCAGTGAGGAGCCCCAGAACCTGCACAGATGAATAGCAGCTGTCACCAAGCCCACTTAGGCCTGTTGACCCCTACTCCCACCTCAGTCTTATGAATTCATATGCCACCCTTTATGGCTTGGATTGACCGATGGGGGCTGGGAATTTGGTCTATCATACACAAGGCCTTGGTTTCTTTCCCTAGCACAGAAAGAACAGAAAGGCAAACCCAGGTATAGCATTCTCTGAATTGCCAACTCCCCAAAGTCTCAAACCCTTCATAAGGTTCTGAGCAGCTCTATGACTGTCACAACCAGAAGAGATGCCAGAGAAGAGCCATTCAAAAAGACCTTGATTTTATTTTGTGATTGGTGTGAGACTGCCTCATTTCAGTGCGGGTGACTCTCCTTCCCAGGAAACAAAAACTGCAGAATGGGGTCTTTTATAACATTATGGCCTCCCCGAGGCCCTAGGAAAACCCCACACAGTTCTGGGAGTGGACAGGAATCCAAAGACCAGGGCTGGTGGGAGGCAGTGACAAAGTGGTCACCAGCCAGGAGGCTGGGAGCTAGAAAATTCCATCCTCAGGCCTGCTCAGGTTTGGGGCTGCCATGTGCGTGATTAGAGAAGGAGGTGCGAGACGTCCCCCTGCTCTCCAGGTGCCCCTTTGCCAGGCATGGCTTGATTCCACTGAGGGCTCAACTGAGACAGGAGCAGGAAACGGCTGTGCTGTCCACTTCACAAGGCGCTGGTGCTTGTGCCCCGGAGCCCAACACCACGGGCGAACTGTTCTAGCAGGCCCCCGATGGCACCAGAGGGACTGGGGGTTACTGCCCGAAGCCCCACTGTGCTGCTGTACGCAGCCAAGAAGGTAGAGCGCACCTCCTGCAGCCGCGTCTCCCGGTCACTCAGGGCTGTAAGTCTGCAGGGAAGGAGAGAGATGAATTTATTACCATAGGACAGGATCCCATACCCTCACTCCACATGGCCTAGCCTCAAACTTCCAACTGCACAAAGTCAGCATCTAGCTGGTGGCTCAGACTCCATACTCCCTTACACAGCAATTAAGTTGCAGCTCTCAGTCTGTTCTTCCAGTGCAGAACAACTTCTCTGCTGGGCAAACACCACTCCTGGTGATGACGGGGAAGGGGGGGCTAAGCAGTGGCAGATCTGTTTCAACACCCGTTGGCTCCCTTTCCCTTTAAGAACAAGCTGTGGCACAAGCCGTGTGCCTGCCTATAAGGAGACTTCCAAGATACAGCAGTGGGGCTCAGCTGCTAGCAGGCTGTAGCCTTCTTGTGGCTAGGACCACACACCCATGGCTGTAAAGAGCTTTGGCCCTAGGAAACCCAGCTGCCCCAAAGAGACCAGAATCTCCCAGTGCAAAGCCTGGGCTCCAGCTGCACCTCAGTCCTGCAGCCTCCCAGGTAAATAGCTGGGAAGGTGTTGCGCCAACTTTTCTCCTTCCTTTTAGGGCACTGATCATGGCAGACCAAAAACCTCACTCCACTGTCTGGAATTAGAGGTCAAAGGGGGAAATAAGCACATACAACTCAGGTTTATCCATGTGTGGATTCCACATGGGGTTGTCTGACGTCCTAGGTTTGTAACAGCAGAGGCTTGGCAATCATCTGGCACCCATCCTTTGGACTCAAGGTCAGGTATATGCAGACATTTGGCTAGAGGGTTGGCTGGAGAGCCTCTTCAAGGGCCACAGACCTAGATGAGTCTCCACAGCCCATCCACCATGGCATGAAGACTAGCAGGGACCACACTAACTCATCCGCACTTTGTGCCCTCTGAAAGCCATCCTTGGAGAATCCTTCTAAGACTGTCAGAGGCGACAGCAATGTGCCCCTTCCTAGTAAGCCTGGGTCCTAGAGAGTCTGAAGTCTGGGAACAGAGGACAGTCTTAAGGCCAACAGGGGAGGACAGACAAGTCCCTAGGGAAATAGGCTGGTGGGAGTTGTCGGTGAGAGGCAGAGAGAAGCACCAGGGGGCAAAGCGAAGTCAAACCGATCCCACAGCAGCACAAGAAAAATGAGGTGATGCCAATTCCTGTAACCCAGGAGCAACCCTGAGGTCTCTGCTGGCACTGTGGGGAGACGTGTCCTTGAACCTTTCTAATCAGGCTTTTCTCAGGTGGGAGGTCATGCGCATATCTCAGCTTCTTTTTGGCTTCAGTGAAGAAAAGGATGTCTCTGTATCCATATAATACAAGGAATAAGGATTATGTGGGGGCCTACATGTGTATTCACACAGCCCTCCTTCAGGCAGCAAAGGGACAAGACCAATCTGTTTAGAGACAAGAAAGTCAGCTAAGACAGGCTACTGATGTTTGCAGGACACAAATGGGCAATGGAGCTGGTACAGCAATGAACAGTGTCTCTCAAGAGCAGGCTAGCACTACGCTTGGGAACGTCAAGGCCGAGACTCCAAGACACAGATGGGGAACAAAGCAGCTAGGATTTAGACGGCTTCCTCCTAACCAAGTCCAAGGGTGTCTTCACAAGGAATACACAGATTCCAACTCAATTTTGGAGGCTCTGAGATCACAGAATCTTTTGTCCTTTGAGAACTTCCCAGATCAGGGATCTGGCTAGCAGCTCAGAGACAGCATGAACTTAGTTGGTTCTGGGCAGGATGATCTGGAGCTGGGACAGCCTGTTTCTGAGGTGAAGGATGCTGACAAGCAGGGCAGGGGGTGGTCCACGTTGTCTCCAGAGGATTCTTTCACCAGTCTGGAAGAAGATGACTTCTTTATAGAAACACCTAAGGATTTTTATTTTATCCTTCAAAAACGGGCTCAGGATGTGGCTTGTTTGGTAGAATGCTTGGCATGGATGAAACAGAGTTCCATCCCCAGGACCACCACATAAACCAGGCTTGGGGGGGCACATGCTTGTAATCTCAACATTCAGGAGGTAAATAAAAGCTGGATGATCAGAAGTTCAAGGTGACCTTTGGCTACTAATATACTAGGCCAACCTGGCCAGACATCCTGCCTCAAAAACATATTAAATAATCTAAGATCTAGCTTTGTGCACTGGGGCCTGGCGGCCAGGGAGGCTGGACTAAACAATGGATTTGGAAGCCCTCTGGTGACCTCCCAGTTTCAGGGCTAGGACCTGAGAGTGTTATCCAGGTGTCCCAGTGTCTGTCTAGCCCCTGCCTGACTTCAGATGGACCCTCTTCTTTCCTTCTTTCCAGAATAACTTGCCTCCATTCAGACAGCAAAGGGTTGGATGTTGTGAACTGGGTGGATGTTGTGAACTGTCACCAGTAGTGGTGAGAAGGAAGACTTACTGAAGGGCCTGCTGTGTAGCTACCATGTGAGGAGCAGGCCTCACTCCTCAGGGCACTAGAGGTTCTCTCTTGCCTGACCATCTACCAGCCACCAAAGATGGTACGGGGACATGTAGCCTCCCCAGAGGACGAGGCATGTGATCGAGCAGTGCCACCCAGTCCTTATTTTTGTCCTGAGGCAAAAGTGCAAGCGTGGGGGTAGAAAGTAACTCTTGACTCTGCTTGGATTTCAGAGCCAGGCTAACCCAGTGCCATTTTGCTCTGGTCTTCAACATACACCTAGCTTCCTACCCAACTGTTCTGTTTTCAAAGGATTCTCGTGTCAGACAAAGCCTCATACATAAATAGAATGCTCTATAGTCCAGCTAGCTTTCCCTCAGAGTACACCCAACACATCTGTGGATGGGTTTTTGGAACTGAGAAGAGTGAACATGAAGCCTACTGCACTTCCCGAGCTGCCACAGGCATCCTTCACACCCTGGGGATCCAGAGGCTGCACACTAATGGGGAGGGGCCGAGACCCCAAGCTGCTCCCTCTGGTCAGCCTCTGCCTCACTCCTGACCAGCACTCCTGATTGCTCTCCAGCTTTTGACATGGGCAGGGGAGTATCCTGCCTTCTCAAGCAAGACACTTACAGACAACTGTTAGGGAGCTCATCCGGGAAGCTGAAAGGGAGAGAGGAGTCTGTGTGCAGGACAGCCCGTTCCTGAATACTGCCACAGCCCGTTACCATCTGCCAGCTGCCAAAGTCTGTGGAGAGAGAGGATCCGGGCAGGGAATGGTCCACTGATCTGGGGCAGAGAGGAGAGAGAGGGGAGATGATGCAGTCAGTCACATGCCTGACAGGGGTGCCCTGGGGAAGGGTGGGCAACACAATGGCCCTGTGCCACAGCCACAGGTTCTGATGGAGCAGCTGAAAGCCAACTACTTTCTCCAAAAGAGCAAACAAAGCTGGGTAAGGAGTGACTGAGAAAGAAGACTATAAGCTGTGCTGGGCCGTGAGGACAGTGCTTTGTGTAGATACTGAAGCCAAAGACCAAGAGCAAAGCAGGGCGACAAGAGATGAACCAGACCCAAAGCCTGTGGCCCATGTGCCTTTCCATGGCTGATGCAGTTAAGTGACAGGAGATTAGGCTGAAGCCGGCCCCAAGAGCAGTCACCCTCTTTGTGACATTCATCTGTGCAGCATGGAACCCAGAGCCACTGAGATCTTATCAGAAGGGAGGGAGAGAGGGAGGGAGGGAAGGAGGGAGGGAGGGGGGAACAAGCCTTTTGGAAACTGGAGGGTGGTGACCTAGATGAAGAGTGAACAGATAGAGCCCTGAGGTCTCCTATCCTCTGCAGCTCCTTCCAGGAGCCAGAGTTTGTATTCAAGAGCACCACAGAGCAAACTCATGGCTATGCCCAGAGGGAGGGATGAATCAAAGCAGGCTGCAAACTGACAGCTTCATCAGACCTCTTCTGACAGAGGGAGATTTGGGAGCTGGGGAGGGAGGCTGTGCTGCCACCTCCTCCCTCTTCAACAGCTAAGCTCTCTCCTCTGTCCTGGACAGCAGCTGACCTGTGGGCGGCTGAGAGGCTGCAAGTCAGTCTCTGGCATCAAGCCTGGAACTTACTACATAGCCCAGGCTGCCCTTAAACTTGAGCAGTCCTTCTGCCTTAGCCTCCCAAGTACTAGGATTGACCTTTTATTATTTAACTCAAGAACAGCAGAAAGGCTCTCGCAAGGATGCAGGAACAAGTGGTGGGGTCAGGAAGCAGGTGAAAAATACCTTACCCTACCCACTTAGCTGCTGGCATCAGTGGATCCTGAAGTGACAGCACCCCCCCCCCCCCCCCCAAAGTAGTTTGGCCAATCTTACTGTCAAGCACCCGTGACCTATGCACAGCTCTGGTGATCTGTTTCAAACAGGCCTGCAACAAACTATGTAGTCCAAACTGGCTTTAAATTCATAGCAATCCTGCCTCAGCTTCCCAAGTGCTAGGATGACCGTCATAAGCCCCCATACCCAGAAACAAGAGTTTCATTTTTATATCACATTTATGCGTGTTTGTGTATGCATGCATGCCACTGTGGACGTCAGAAGACATGTGGGTCCTTGGGACTGAACTTAGATTATTAGGCTTGGCACCAAGTGCCTTTACTGGGTGACCCATCTCATCAACCCTATGAGAAGTTTTTTAAACTCAGGTTTGACTACAGATTTGTTCTGAACTTCTAGAAGCCCAGCACCTTGAGAGAAAGGAAAACAGACGGCTTTCCACATTAAAAGCTGCTGTGAACTAGAATGCCTGCCAACACTGGGCCTTGCCACATTCATCATTGTGGTGACCCTAGGCAAAGTGTGAGGTCTTCAGGGATGAGAACAGGACATGGTCTACTACCTGATAGAATCCCAAGGGTGCATGAGGCCAGGCATCTTGGTTTCTAGATAAACGTCAGACCTGTCAATCACAGCTAGCCTCTCAAGAGAAGCCCGCCCAGGGTGTTCTTCTGACTGTGCTGGGCCATCAGTCAGTGCAAATCCTCCAGAGGCACAGCCTGGCTCCTCAGTCTCCATAGCCCATCTGAAGAGTAGACTCTTTTCTACTTTTAGCAGCTTATGGAGAAACAGCTTCTAAGACTCAAAGATTTGGGAGTAGGAGTAGAGCACCTGAGCAGAGAAAAGTTGGAAATAGGCATTCTATGCCATGAAGTTTCTCAAGCCCCAAACCCATTCCCTGGAATAGGCTAGCCCAGGTAATCACAGAGAGTAGACTTGTTTCTGCCTAGTTCCCCTTAAGCACTCTGGTCCTCTGGGGTAGTCAGTTCCCTTTGCTTCCCAGAGGCACCACCAGACCAGAGTAGCTGTCAGGTGAATGAGGCAGCAGGGCCAGCAAGAGGGCATCCCCTCCTATGGAACAGAAAACAGCTTTCATTGAGCAGTCACGCCTGAGAGACACTGACATTTTTCAAGAATGAAACATGAGATCTTCCTAACCTGACGTTTAAGTCCAATAATAGGTTATGTAAAATGACCATTCAGCTCTTGCATTGAGAGACACTCAAAAATACTTGGATTAGAGTAGGCTAGAGGGACAGCTAGAGACAAAAGGTAAGTGTCCTCCTGGAGGGACCTGTTCCTGCTTATGAGAAGGAAGGAGAGCCTTAGTCAGCTCAGCATTTGGGTTACCCTCACCAGCATTAGAAAGGCTGCAGCCCAGTGCGCTAAGCTCCTACACAAGGGTCAACAAAGCTGTGAAGAAAGCAGTCTGAGTTTTGTCTCCTCTGCTTGCCTGCTCAAGTACCGGAAAGAACATAGCCAAGCAGCCCTCAAACTGGAGCTGTGGAGCTTTGTCCTAGGCCTGGGGCCTGGAAGACCTAAGCCTCTGTACAGGATGGTGGCTTCTGGTAATACTCTACTCCCTTAGCTAGCCCCAGCCCAGGCCCTCTTCCTCAGTGGCTCCCAGTCTCCCCATCTCCTGGCAGACACCTAGCTGAGGACAGTTATAGCCAGGGAGCTTCTAGCTACTACTTTCTGTACTGAGACACAAGAAAACAGATACAAGGAGTGCTGGCTGAATCCAGGCAAGACTAGGTCTGAGAGGGGTACCAGGCTTGGCGCTTTAGTAGCTTCCCAGTGCTCTGACATGGCTGGCAGATAAATGATTGCTAAGAACAGTTCCTAAAAAACAGCTGCGCTTTCTGAACACTTGTAGGAAGAAAAAATATCTGGCATGCCAGGTATGACAGATACCTTACTTTAGTACACCATTTCACCCTTATTTACAGGACTCAGGATCACTAGTCCTACTTAAGAATGGGCTGAAAACTGAGCTCGGAGAGAGGGAAGTGATTTCCCCCTCCATTCCACCTCCAAGTCGCACAGCTGGGAAGGCCAAAGCTGTGAATAAAATCAGGTCTGGCCCAAGTCCATTCTAGCCAATTTTCCTTAAAAACAAACCAAAAGATGCCAGGTGATGCGGGTGTACACCTTAAATCCCAGCACTTGGGAGGCAGAGGCAGGCGGGATCTCCGAGTTTGAGGCCAGCCTGGTCTACAGAGTAAGTTCCAGGGCTGTTACACAGAAAATAATATGGGGAGGGGGGGCTCAGGGGGAAGAGAGGGGAAATCCAAAAGACAGAGGATCACCATGTAGCCCTGGCTAGCCTGGAATTCACTATATACACTAGGCTGATTTTAGGCAGAGTTCTATCGGCCTCTGCTTCCCAAGTGCTGGGATTAAAGGTGTGTACCACCACCGCTGGCTGATTTTCCTTCTCAATGTGGGAAGGGCTTGCTCATGAATGGGCACATGACTTCCCTGAGAGTACAGCATAGAGCTCTTAGAAGTGTGATTGGAAGAAGAGGCCTTCATGAGAGCCTTCTGTGTAAGAAAGAGCAAAGGGGAGTCCCAGGAGCTGCCAAGAGCTACTTCAGCAAGATGGAGAAAGGTGGCCTGGGGAGCAAGGCAGCTCGGAAAAGGAACCACAGGGATATAGGTTTGGGACCCTGTGAGACTATACCTGAAGGCTACCTGATGTACTTCCTGTTACCTTGCATTTTGAAAGCATCTCAATAATCATGCTGTCATAGAATGTCTGAAAGTACAGTTACCTGTCTGAAGTTCCTGGTTACAGATTAGAAAAAGGAAAGCCATTCATCAGGTGACGAGTGACATGAAGGGATTATCTGAGCCAAGTCTTAGACTTTGAGGGAGGCTATATGTCACTGGATCCAGACTTATCCCCTTGACACCAATCATTAAGGCAACCTGGGATGCATCTCAAGGATGGCCCCATGGCCTCTGCCCAAGTACCTGGGAGGGGGCTCTCACCAGCCTGGCCTTTGACTTTTTACATGTGTGCATGTCAGCCCAGCAAGGCCTCCTGCATTCCTACATCAGCCCAAGGAGAAGTCTTGGGGTCTCCAAGTTTTTTCCTTCAGGTCTCAAGCTGGGACTGCCTTAGGTACATCAGCACTCATGTCAGCTCTGGAGCAGGGCAGTAATCTAGGTACTGCAGAGAGCAATCAGGCTTCTCTGCTGTGTAAGGCCGTCCGGGACAGAGCTCACAGCTTTACAGTGAGCAGGTGGCAGTGCCCGGGGGAGCAGCTAACTGGGCAGCAGAGGTTAGTTCCTGTGTTGCTACTTAGCTATTCAACCAGGCTGTTGGGTGTCTCTCAGCCAAGTTCATCTGCTCTTCAGGCAGCCTGGCATCAAGCTGGGCTCAGTGGTGGCACCATCCTCCTCAGTCATAGACAACACTGTGCCAGAACCCCACCCCTCACTCCTAAGGGGACATGAGAGCAAAGATTAAGGCCAGGCCAAGGTGGAATAGGTGACTTCCTAGGTAAGGCTGAAGTAGACATGTACACTTAAGAGTCCTGTGGCTAATTATACAGTGGCAGTGAAAAAAGCCAAAAAGTCACTGTCTTCCCAATGAGAAATGTGGTATTACAGCCTGTTAAGAATCAACACTCCACAGAGCTTTCCTCCCCACTTAGAGCAAAGCCCGAGATTCCTCTCACGGGGGTCCTGCTTTAAGAGAGGCAGGGTTAGAGAATGTGGAGCACATGAAACCCAGAACACATCAGCAGTGACTTCGGCAGTCATGGATAACTTCCCTAAAGGGCTGCTTTCCACACAGATCTGCCTGGAGCACCAAAGACCTGATTGGCTACTGTTACCTAAGAGGCAGAGCAGCTAATGACAGGATCCCTCAGGCACTTTAAGATAAAAGAGACTAAATTAATTTTAATGTTAATGGAAATACATAATTAGAATGCTCCAAATCAGAATAGTGTAGTCTTTCAAAACCTCTGGCAGCAGACATCTGATTCAGAACTGTGTTGCCTGGCTAGCTGGGCTTGGCTCTGGGCAGGTGCTCTCAGAAGACGCTGTTCACAGCAGTTACCCCACACACTGTCTACCCAATCCCCATTTAGGTCCATGCTAGCCTGGGCCTGGCCTCAGGGTGTAGGGCTTTCTGGATACCCCAATACTCCTCATCTCCTAGAGAAAGGACCTTTATGGCCATCTTGGACCAGCTAAAGAAGTCTGAGTCACTCAAAGAAGGTAAAAACCAAAACAGTAACAACAGAAACCATCCATAAGATTGAAGGAAACTATGACAACTGGCCGGGGAAGCAGCAGGAATAATAAAAAAGGGTGTGAGGAAAAGTGACAGTCAGCATGGGAGTGTCTACAGTTGGGGCAAGGCCTAGGTGGTAAGTAGAGTGTTCTGGTTTCCTGCCCAGTTAACCAACAGTGCTACACAGAAAAGGAGGTTAGGCCATGAACAAGAACCTCAGCCCAGACAGCAAGAGTCTCACAGTGCCACGACACCACCAGAGTAGCCCTGAGGACAGCCAAGTGCAGAGGAGGGTCACAGCAACAGACATCCATGCCAGCCCCACATGCAGGATGTGAAGAGGCACAGGCAATGTGGGCTGCCTGCCTGGTCCCGGCTCTGTTTAGTCACAGCCACCAAGTCTCCTCTGGACTAAACAGACCCTCACACTTGCAGATGACACTGAGGTGAAGGGCTCTCCTGGAGGGAGTGCACATGGGAGTGCTCTGGCCACATGCTTGCCCACCACTCATTTGCTCTGCCTCCCTGAGGAAGATGCTTTGGCTCCTCTTTCTCCACTGTCTCCTCTTGTCCAGAGAGTGAAGGAGGGTACCAGAAGTTTTAGCAAGTTTGCCTCTTAACAGGCCTGCTACCAAGTCACAGAGTAACAAGGACATTACATGGTAAAGCTGGGCTCAAGTCTAAGTGGGACTCCAGAGCCCGTTCTGCTAATCCCCACATTGCTCTGCTGTCTTCAGAAGGGCTACAAGTTCTCCAGGATTTAGTCAGGAAAGCAATCAAGCACACAGTCTTTCCTTGGAATGTGAGATGGAAAAAGTAGAACCATCAGCTGGGAAGTGCTTTCCCCAATTGCCAGACCACCCCTCATTCATCAGCCCTGGTGCACACTCAGTTTTAACTTTACCCAGGAGGCAGAGTGCTGGCCTCATCATGGGCACATCTGTCCTAGCTGAGTTGATGCTTTTTCAGGTGTAGATAGTGGCTGTGGTTTTCCACAGCCACACGTCTAGGCTGGCTCCTTATCTGTTTTAGCTTCTCCATCAATGTGGACAAGGAATGTGAGAGACATAATGAACCCAGAGTGTCCAGACCCATTTTGAATAACAATGGGCAGTCTACAGGGCTGGGATCTTCCAAAGGTGACTCATGGAGGCAGTTCTGACTCTGTCAGTCACATAACAACCATTACATCATCTGTGTACCCATGTGCACAGAGCTCCAGGAAACAATTCCAAACGTTTTTACAAACCAGTGAAGGCTCTGTACCCCAACAGCAATCAATCCTTCAAAGAGTGGGCCTGCTAAGCTATCCATTTCTTTCAGCTCCTAAGGAGCTACCCATCAGGCACATACCAAGGAATCCCAGCCTAAAGATACGGAAAGCTTAAATGTTAGACCCTCACTTCCAACCTTGCTAATGGAAGAAGGCCAGCCACATTCCCCAGCAGGCTCCTTATACCTTGAGGTTCCTCACCTGGGTTTGGGGACCTCAAGAGGACTGCTGCCCATCCTGAAAAAGTTGTCAGAATGGTTTGAGGATGAAGAGCTGGAAGACTTGGCTTCAGCCAGCCCATGGTGGGAAGGTAGGCGGTCCTCAGAGGGCTGTGGCCGGTTCCAGAGCATACTCTGTGGGGAGGATGAGTGACTCTTCCTCCTGTGGCAGAAGAGCAAGGCTGTCAGCTGGGCCTCGGAGCCACTTTGTCTATGGGGAAAATGTCATACACAGGAGGCACAAACACGTGGTTCTCTTCCAGGTTCAAGGCCACAGGCAACAAGGGCTGGGACTTTAACAGAGACACTAAGGCATTCTAAATGCACTGGCCCATTAGTCTCAGAGAGGATGCTAGAAAATTGTTCTTCATGTGTACTAACTGCCCCACCATTCCCTCCCTTCCAAGTGCTCTACAAACTGCCAAGTGTCTAGGGAGGAAGGCATTAAGGCCTTAGATCCTGCCACATTCTCAATGGGAGGCCCCTCAAAGCAGGTCCCTGACCATCGTATGTACCCACCACCTTTTGTCTCCTGTCTCTAAGCTGGCCCCCACCTTCTGGCACACTGTACAGGGCACTCTTCCCTCCCCCATATCTCACTGCTGCTTCTTGGTCCCACCGGGAGCACCAGCCCTTTGTGCTCCTGGGCCACCGTGCAGTGCCCCTCACCAACCAGATGGCTGGGCTCTGAGGCCCAGTACAGACAGCAGGGGATGAAGCTATGCTCTCAAGCCTTCTGTCAGAGCCCCCTTTGTTCCTGGGGCTACAGCCTGGCTCCCTAGGGCTGGTGGCCTTGGGCCACAGCTGTGAGTTTACTCTGTCTCAGTCTGGCCCCTCACCAAGCTGCCTGAGTTGGTGCTCCTGCCGGAACAAGTTCCACAGCCTCATAGGTGAAGCTCCCCACGGCTCCTGGTGAGTTCTCCAAGACCAGGGAGAAGTCGCTGCCTAGGCTGGTCGTGCTGCCTCGGTCTCTGCGTCCTGGAAGCAGCCACAAAGTCAGCATGTTACCTTCCCCACTACCAGTTCCCGCCTTTTCCACACCACACGGCTGGATGAATAAGCTTCTAGAACAGGTCCCCATGTGGTCTGTACTCAGCTACGGTGAAGCAGGAAAGCCTGTTAGGGGCCAGCACTCACTCAACATGCAGATGTCTTCCAGAGTGAAGCCTGCATCCCGAGCTGGCAGACTCTTCCTCCTAGAATGACAACCCCAAGCAGGAAACCTGAGCAAGCTGTAGCTGGAGTTCCCTCTCACCTCCTCTTGACTTTGCCTAGCCTGCAGGACAGTTCCAACTACTGGCGCCTCATGGAACAGGTCCCACCTACAGAGCCTGCCAAGTACCAGGCCTACTTCCGGGATCTACCAGCTTGGCTTTGCCTGTCACATGCACTAGACTAAGGTGAACACAGCCTGCTTTTCCTCACCATCGTGGCCACTTGGGACTCAATTATGGCCCAACAAGTGCCAAGTTTGGGGAGGAAGACAAGTCAACTCTTAGGACCCAAGTTCTCACTGGAGTCCCAGGGCAACTGCCAGACATACAAGACTTTCTCAGGTTGGAAGCAGATTGCTGCTTCACTCTACAGATGGTCAGGCTAGCTTGGAACTCGGATCTGCCTGCCAGATGCTGGGGGTAAAGGTGTGCACCATGATGCCCAGCAGAGTATGATTCAGTTTCTATGGGGTCATATTCTGAGTTTTTCTTTTTTATGGTACCAAAGATTGAAAGTGGGGTCTGGAGCATGGTAGGCAGGCACTCTACTACTGAGCCACACCCACATTTGGACTTCTATAGCACCCAAGGACGGTGAGCATCAGCTCAAGGCTGTGAGGAGTGGGAAATCCTGTCCATAGGCTTGTTTCTTCCTACAGCATCCCAGCTCTTCTTCATCAAACCATTCATTCCCTTGTCACTTAGGGCCTCAGCATGGACATTTGCTCTAGTGTACAGGGCTGGGATAAATGCCTTACTGTGGAGGAGTACCCCTTGAGTGCCTTTGGCCTCCACTTACCTCTGGGTCTTCAGGCAGAACTCTTCGGAGGTGATATGCTTCAAAAAATTGAAGCAAAAGAAGAAAATCTAAAGGAGTGAGAAAAAGAACACAGTGAGGAGCTAGCCTTCCCCAGTAGAAAGATGGAGACAGCAGAACATTCACAAGTGGGATGCTGGCTGCTCTGGTTAATTCCTCTTTTGGAGCGTGGTCGCCTTGGGGACCCTGCTGGATCTTCTCGGAGTATGACTGATGTGGGTGAAAGAGGCTCAGCAGGGTTGGGCAGGTGCCTGTGGGCTGGGCTGGGGTAAGGAAGGAAGGAATGTGCTTCTTTCTTGAGGACACAGAGGTCCAATGTAGAGCTTTCACATCTTCAGCTCAATACGGATGTTCTTCATCTTTAAAGATGAGGGGACAGCAGCTCCCCACTTTCATCTAAGAGCCCAGGGAGAGCCACTGAACGGGAAGGACAGCTGGGAGGGAGAGGATCTTGGGCAAGGGGATTAGTGATTAAGGCAGGACAGAAGAGGAAAGGCACTCCATGGAGAGGGGTCACATGATCTGACATGGGATCAGAACTTGTGCAGGGCAGCCACGGTCTGGCTCAGAGCCGGCTGTGCTCATCAGGTACCGTGAGGCACAGGTCTTTGCCGTGAGGTGGTACAAGCAGGAGGTTCTGACTAGCAGCAGCCCCATCCCCATGAGTAAATCCCAGCCAGTGCCCTAGTCCAGAGGCTTTGGCCTATTTAGCCTACACAACACACCAGAGATCCCCAAAGGTGCAACCCATGAGATACTCAGGGAAACACCCACACATTCCCACAGGGCCCTGTAAGAGTCCCTCAAAAAAAGGCAGAGGGTTGCTCAGATCTGGTCAGTATGAATGCTGCATTATATAAAATGACACAGGTGTTCCATCAGACTCTTCAGCCTTTAATGTGCTAATATATGCTGGGAACCTCAAAGACAAGAAGACAGGGTAAAGAGGCATGTACTAGCTGTTTTTAGCTTGTTGTTTTACAGAAGTGTCTAGTCTGGGGAGGTAAAAACTAGCCCTCCAGTCCCAAAGATCTTTGCATATGCTGAGTAACTGAATGGTGGGACCCAGCCCAGGCAGCTCAGCTTCATCTTTGCCCTGATTCTCTGAAGGGAGCATCTGGCCTGCTCTGAGGGAGGAGGGGAGATGGAGTGGAGGACAGAATGTCCTGAAGCACCAGCAAAATCTCTAAACAAGAGCCTACAAAGAGGCCTTCCACCCAGATTTCAATGCCAAAGGCTCTGCCTCTGGCAGAGTTCACGGGGCCTCTAAGGAATGGGCTTATGAGCTCTGCAGCCCTGAAGACTCGTAAGTGCTCAGAAGAGATTTGGAAGGGGGATGAGCAGCTGGGCAGGAGCAACAAAAGAAAGCTAGAGATAAGATGCCCAAGAAGGAAGCAAGCTCAGGAGAGGGAGGGAGAGAAGAAGGATGCTTCTGGAGGTTAGGGATGAGGGGAGACAGAGCCAACACTGTTGTGATAGGCATCTATCTCTGAGTGAGGCACCATGAGACTCAAGGTTAAGCATGCTGCTCAAGGTCACCTCGGCAATAAGCAGGACAAGTAGGGACATACTCAAGCCCAACTTTAGAGCTGAGGCTGGGGAAACCATGACAAGCAGGCAAAGATGTAGAGAGGCAGGGAGAATGGAGAAAGCAAGGCAAAGATGGCAGAGGAATTTGACTACACTGAAGATGAACAAAATGGACCCAGAGGCAGCCTACAGACGAGAAGTGGGCAGGACCCCGAGTGTACAGAACACCTTGGAGAAAGGAAGGGATTCTGGGTGTGGCAAGATCGAAGACAGCAACACAATGTCATGGAAAGCACCTTGTACACTGGTTCCAGAGCAAGTGCAGAAAGGGAGAAAATTAGCCTGAAAAGATCACAGCAGCTGTGACCACAGCTTTTTCTGTGGTATAAGGGGAGCCTGAGGTTCACACAGGGGGCTCTGTGCTCTTGCTCTCCCACCCCCACCCCCACCCCTGCCTGAGGGAAGAAGATGGTGACCTCATCCAAGTATCCTGGGTGGAGAAGAAACTGCCTCTACAGCATGGCAACCAGAATGAATGTCATTCTGTCTTAAGGTGTGGTAGAGGTCTATGAGGGGACCTACCTCCTCTCCTTTGCTGAGGCGATCTACCAACATGTGCCTGAAAAAGAAGAGCGAGGAGTCAAAGGGAATAACAACCCAGGGCTGAGGGAGGCTTGTGCACCAGAGACAGACCAAGTCTTTGGCTCTAATGCAGCAGGTGAAGCCTGCCAACTTCTTTGATCTTTTCCAAAGGGAGCCAACTGTTTTCTTATCTCTGTTCCCAGACATTTAATAATAAAAAAAAAAAAAAAAAAAAAAAAAGCCACACCATGCACATATACCTCAAAGGCTGGTGTTCCTTGAAAACTTACCCAAAGAGGAACCAGTCATAGGCCACAGTCAGGTAGAGGATCTCTGCAGGCTTCAGGGAGGTGTGGATTAGCCCATCCTGGGAGATATCAAGAGTGGCAAGATCAGAAAGCTGCCTTCCTAGTACAGACCACCTTGCCCCAGAGCAAACCACATCATAGACTGGGTGACCACTCTCGATGACCAAGAACAAGGTTAAACATGACACCTGCTGAGTGTGTCCTCACCCCACAGCTTCTCTGCATCTTGGAGACAATAATTAAGACCCCAGAGGGCAGAACCTAATATGGTCTCTGCATACTCCCTGACCCAGGCCATTCATACTCACAGCCCATAAGGAAAGGCGTAGAAGAGAGATGAAGAGAGGGGTCCGATCCCAGCCTGAGATACAGTGTACCAGCAGTCCGCTGTCATCTGTTACAGAACAGGAACACCAAATGAGAGAACCAGACAGGGCTGATGAAAAGGCCTTCAGCCTGGTGCAGATGAAGCCTCCAGGCCAGCTTAGTGATCCTCCTCCCCAGGGACCTGTCCAAGGTTATTCCCAATCTCATCCTAGGTATGGCTGGGTGGGAGCACCTCTCTTGGTTTCTAACATCTCTAGTTGAAGTTCTGTTTTTAATCTATTTCTTATAATTGTGTTTCAGATAACTTGTGGAAACTGGTTCTCTTCTTCCACCACGGTTCTGGGCATCATACCCAATTTATCAAGCTCCTGCAGCAAGCGCTTTTTCCCACACAGACATCTCACTAGCCTTGACTAAAGTTCTCGGCATACACCTGGGAAGGAATCCAGCCTGAAAAGTCTCTTTGGTTCAGGGGATTCTCTGAGAAATAATTCCACATTCCTGACCAGGGCATCACAGGCTTGGGACCCTAGGACTCACCATCACTATTAACAATGAAAAGCAGCAGTTTCAGGTAGTTTTGTGTTTGTTGCACCAGGTCCCAACTCTGTTGGGCAAAACAGAGAAAGAGGTGGAGAAATAAATATTAACTAGGACTTAAGAGGCAAGAGAAACATGGTTTCAGGCCAGTCTTGGCTACACACTGAGTCTCAAAAAATCCCAAAACAAATACAAATGCCAGCTGAGGTGTAGGTCAGTGGTAGAGCACATGCTTTTGCATTTAGGAAATGCCAGGTTCCATCTTGGCACCACAAATCTAACAAAAATGCTGCCAGGTGTGATAGTATACCCTTTGTAATCCCAGCCCTTAGGAGGCCTAGGCAGGAGGATCAGGAATTCAAGGCCAAGTTCAGCTATACCAGCCTGGTATATGAGACCCTATCTCAAACTAACAAATGGAGCCAAAGCATGATTTTGGAGCAGCAAGTATACAAGGCTCTTGGTCTTAAGCTAAAGGCCTCAAACCCCAAATAACCTGAGACATTCATTCCTCGGCTCCAAGTGCTCTTGCATCCATCAGCCACCCTCCTTTACTCAGTGTGCTGGAGAGCGAGGAAGAAAAGTCTCCAGCAGGTGCTCTCAAGAAGCCACCTGCCACTGGCTTCTAGGTCCAGGGCCCAGTGTAGATACTGTTTCCTAACAGCCATCTACAAGTCATTCTTTCATCTGATAACACATGACGGAAAACAACACAAACACTAACCTTCTTAATCATCGTTTCATTCACCTTTACTGCTCCTCACTGCATGCTATCTTTTTGCCATTGTTTAGTGTGTGTGTGTGTGTGTGTGTGTGTGTGTGTGTGTGTGTGTGTGAGAGAGAGAGAGAGAGAGAGAGAGAGAGAGAGACAGAGAGAGAGACAGAGAGAGACAGAGAGACAGACAGACAGAGAGACAGAGACACATTCCTGGGGTAGAAGAGACAGCTCAGTGGTTAAAAGCACTGCCTGCTCTTACAGAGGATCAGGGTTCAATTTCCTGTTCCCACATCTAACTTCAGTCCCTAAAGGGCTTCCAGGGGATCTGTTATCTTCTGACTTCCATGGGTACTGCACCCAAGTGGTGCACAAACATGCATGCTGGCTAAACACCCATACACATTAAAAAACAAGAACAAGTTGCACTCCTGCCATGGCTTGTGTGTAAAAGATCAGAGGAGAACTTTAGGGGGGCCAGTCTGCATGGATTCAGGGATCAAACTTGAGTTGTCAAGCTTGGCAGCAACCACCTTTACCTACCGAGCCACTGGGCTGCCCCTTTCCTTCTTAGTGTTAGTCTCCTTCTATTAGCCTAAGTTGGGCTGAAACTATCTTTCTGCTTCTGCTCCCAAGCGGTGGGATTATACATATGTACCACCACCTCCAGGCCTCATACTGTCTTTTGATAGATAATATATATATACATACAGTGTATTTAGCAGACACTTTTTTTTTAATAAGAGGTTCATTAGGTGGGAGTCAGGAAATACATAAATGCTGCCATTTATTCTAGCATCTGTTCTAGCCAGGTGAGAGGACTAGACCAGGCACTCTAGAGCAGCCCACTCCCAATCTGAATTCCATGGAGGGGCCTGACCCAGTTCTGCAGAGCCTTTTTCCCTGGCTAGGGACAGCCTCTGCTCTCTTAGGACACAACTGCCTATCAGCGTATGGGCTGTGCAGGGAGGGTGGCGCATGCCAACGAGAGAGCACTTCCCGGGGGGAGGGGAACACGGCACCTGTAATTGCAGTGGTTTTCCCAGGAATTTAAAGCAGACTCATTTACCTGACCCTCCCATACCCCCAGAGAGTTCTGACCCACTTTCAGCAGCTCCAGAGACCTGCTGCAGCATTGTGCTAATAAAGCCATTACCAGCAGGAGCATGAGGGGCTCTCGACACAGCTGGCACAATGTGTCAGGCACACTATTGCCAAGAGATTTCCTGAGCCGAGATTCTGCAGTGAGGACAGGAGCCATGTAACAGGAAGCCTCAGGTCAGGCTTGCTAGTGAAGATAGCAGCTCTGCAGAGCGCCAAGCACTGCAGATCTAAAGGAGACTTTGATCAGGAAGAGACAGCACGTCCCCAGGGTTGGGCCTAGTTATCCATGGAGAGGGCTGCACTAGGAAGACCCAAAACCACACAGCTGAGCTGAGGGGTGGGTCTGGCGCCAGACTCTTAGGATTTACAGGAGAGTAAGAAACAAAAACGTTAGACTACTGAATGTGAGCGGGCCTGGCTGTGTGCTAAAAACCTAGGTCCACCCCTCATGCTCATCCCCATGCATTCCATGAAAAAGCCTCTAGGAGCAGAGCAAAAAGGAATGAACAACAGTTGATCATGAGGTACAGTATAAGGGAGTCCAGGACCCCAAAGTTAACACACAGAGGGTCAAGTGCACCCCTGGCGCCGAAGACGACGTGAAGAAGCATTCCTTTGACACACCCACCCTGCCACCAGCATGCCTGGAATCACATCAGTGTCCGTGCTCTGAAGTCAGCTAACTAGCGGTCTGCTTCTCACTGCCATCAAGGCACTCCAGCATGTCTTCTCCAAGAACACTTACAACTCAGGGATCCTAATTAGACCTGGGATAGGGCTGCCAACCCCTTTCAAGGAAAGGGAAGGTCTGCTCAAAGCCAAGGAGCCCAACTGCAGCATCTTCAGCTCCTCAGCAGAGCTCTTCGTTCCTCCCCAGAGGAGACAGCCTTAGCAGGACCAGCACCACAGCCCCCTCCTGTCACCCTGATTAGGTGAGTACTTCATCAGATCCAACTGCCACCTGCCTAAGGAAAACAAGCGGCTCTAGAGAGAACAGGGGGGCAGCTTAGGGTAAAGGCCGCCTGAGAGTTCTGTACACAAACTGAGGAGCATGCAGGCTCCCCTTGACTATTTAACCTGTGAAACCACAGCAAGAACACAGGACTCCCTAAACCTACTCTTCAGATCACAGTGAAGAGCACCAGCCTGCTTTCCCTCTCTAATGATCCTCTTCTAGAAACACCTGTGTAGGGGAATACCTGACATTTCCCTCCTGCATGTACCCAGACAGTGGCCTGAGCATCTAAGCTGTGATCAAGGCTATTACCCATGCTGGCAAGATGGCATGGTGGGTAGAGGCATTTGCCATCAAGCCTGATGACCTGAGTTCAGTTCCCTGGAATCCACATAGCAAGAAGAGAATTGACAGACAAATCCAGTCCTTGTCTTCACAAACTTCCGTGGTATCACATAAGAGAGTGGGGCCTCCAGTTGTCTACAAGGCAGGCCTGGTCTGAGAAAAGGAAACGTTAAGGCTGTGTGGGAGTTGTTCAATCCAGGGCACAAATGAAAATGGTAGGGAGGCAGGATGTTTTTCATAATCACTGGCTTAGCTGTTCCCATCTCTCTTTTTCTTTTTTGTCAGGGTATGGGATGGGTGGGTTTTGAGATATGGTCTGCTAAGTAGCCTAGGCTGGCCTCAAACTTGCAATGATCCTCCTGAGAAAGGGATGACAGGCATGTATCCCAACACCTGGCTTCCTGTGCAGGGGGGTGTGGAGGAGATACACAAACTGTGGGTCCTCTGTCCTCATGGAGCTCACAGAAGCAGATCTCTAAACCAGTAACTACAGCTCAGTGGAAAATTCCACAATAGAGACACCCAGGGGGTTAATGGGAAGGTAGATGCAGGCATCCAGTCATCAGGGATGGGGAGAGGAGGCAAATTAGGAACGTCTTCCTGAAGTGGACACAGAGCCAAATCTTGAAGGACAAGCTGTCAGTCAGACAGGAGGGAGCCGAGAAGGGGGCAGGCAGGCAAACAGAACAGGAAACGGGGAAGGTGGCAGAAGGGCTACTTGTCCTGTCTGAGGCAAGCAGCAAGGGCGGCTCCCAGCAGCTGTCAGCTTGTGAGGGCTACACAGTGTGGAGGAGAGCCAGCTCTATCTCAAAGGTTTCTGCAGTCAAACGAGGTCAGGCGGCTCTGCACTTCCATTAAAAAGAAAAATGAAAAGCTGCTAAGCCCAGATGTGGAAGAGCAGACTTTGTGAGGTCCCCTGGAAACAGATCCCCCTGGTGGACACAAATCATTGAGTTACATTTGGAAGACTGACTCTCTCAGTCTAGAGTAAATAAGGAAAGCCGTACATGATGGTGTATACCTTTAATCCCAGCACTCATTCGGATCTCTGTGAATTCAAGGTTGGTCTGATAGTCTACATAATGAGTTCTAGGTTAACTTGGGCTATACAGTGAGACCTTGTTTAAACACACATACACACACACACACACAAAAAAAAAAAAAAGACAGAGTTCAATAGACAAGCAGTTCCTCTTTGTCTGGGCTGTGGGATGTCAGAATACTGTAACATTTGCCCAAGGTCTCAAAGGATGGGCAACATGGTCCCTTGGTCACACATCCCCTCATGCTGCCTGCATGATCAGGCTCTCACCTGATACTGGCTCCAGTCAATGTTCAGAGAGTGAGTCAGGAAGTCAGGGATGTTCAATGGGGCATCAACGTAGTCCTGAGGACAGAATGACACTGAGACATAATTGGGCAGCAGATGTAGTTGTGGCAACAATAGGTCCCAGCCCTGAAGCTGTATCCACCACAGGTAGGACAGACCTCCACAGCACTCGCCTTCTCTGGGCCAGATGCCTGGGGTACTCTGGAATTGATAGCTTAAAAAGCAAAGTGACCAGGTCACTAAAGCTGGAGTTTATCTGTCAGACATTGAAGTATTTGAAGCTGCAAGAGCAAGCAATACTCAGTGCTGTGGGATATCTTTCTGTTTGCTGTGAATGTATGTTGTTCCCACTGGTTAATAAATAAGCTGCTTTGGCCTATGGCAAGGCAGCTTAGAGGCAGGCGAAAAATGCAAGGAGAGAGACAGGAAAGAGAAAGGCAGAGTCTGCAGAGATGCCAGCCTGCCACCCAAGGAGCAACATGCTAGCAGACCCATAAGCCATGGAACATGTGAGAACACATAGATTAATAGAAATGAGTTAATTTAAGATATAAGAGCTAGCTAGCAAGAGGCCTGCCATAGGCCATACAGTTTATGAATAATACAAGCCTCTGTGTGTTTACTTGGGTCTGGGCGGCTGTGGGACCACAGGTGAGAGATTTGTCTGGACTGGAGGCAGGGGGGGGGGGGGGGGGGGACGGGACACGACACGGACAGACCCAAGAAAATTAAAACTACAACTCAGCCTCTGGAGGCTCCCTGTGCATGATCTGCTGCTTGAGGAAACGGCACTGCTTCCAGGCTTCACACAGAGTAGAAGAAAGGAAGGTCCTTCCCTAACTGGCTTTGAAGACTTTCCTTTATGGAAAGGCCACCATGAAAAGGGGAGAGGAAAAGGTGTGCAGTGAGAAATTAACACACACACATGCAAGCAGCAGAGGAAGAGAACGAAATAGCGGACTAATCCAGGCAAGAACAAAAAAAAGGGTGTACTTTCCCTGAAAAGATGACTAGCTCTTTGTGGTCTCCTGTTACAAAGAAACATGGTTGAATATTGTTGAATATTGGTACTCATACCTGCTTCCAGTTAAATATAAGCCCTTCAGCCATGTAATCCCGGTCCTTATATTCCTTGAAGAATTCACAGCCTGGAAAAGAAGGCAAAGTTATGGCATTTCCTGTCCTGGTCACCAGCTCCCTGGCCGGCCACCTTTGGCCCTAGGTGTGGGAGACTGTGGGAGCCACGAGCTCACCAAGCTTTCCACATTGGTGGCCCTGGGCAGGCTGAGGCCGACTGAAAGGGTGAGATCCAGAGCCAGAGCAAGCTCCTGGCATCCCTCTCTTTCCAGCTATACAAGGCCCTAACTGTTCTCACACTATCTATGCTCCCTGGTCACTAGTTACACCTCCCTCACTACAAGTTTCTAATATCAATCCCAGCAGATCAAGGCCATGCTTACAGCAGGAGTCCACTTTCTTACAGAAGTTGAGGCATCTTCTTTAAGAGTGGGGTTAGTAATCCCCAACTACAGGTTTCAGAGAGGACTGCATATCCTTATCCAGAGAGACACAGACAGCATCTAAAAGCTAACAAGTACTCAGTGGACATCACTACTGCCAACCCAGCAGGAAAAGGGTACTTTCTCCATCATTCAAACTCCCTCAGAAAGTCTGCAGATGAGGCCTCGGCAACAGAGGGAGGACTGTGCAGAGAAGAGCCTTTGGAAGCAGGCCCAACTTCAAAGTACAGTTTTTTGGCTTTTTTTGTTTTTTTCCAGAGCTGAGGACCGAACCCAGGGTCTTGTGCTTGCTAGGCAAGCGCTCTACCACTGAGCTAAATCCCCAACCCCTCAAAGTACAGTTTTTACCTACACCTGGGATTGGGAATAAGTTGGTGAACATCATTAAGCCCCGGTTTTCCTACTTGTGGGATGGCTGTTTTAGGCTTATACATAGCAATACATGTGAGACAGTATGGTCAGTTGCATAGCTGCTCAGGTACCTGTGACATTCAAATGGCAATACAAATCTGACACCATACTGCTCTTGTGACAGGAACTTGACTTAGTCAACATGCTTTTTGTTTTTGTTTGTTTGAGCAGGGTCTATATAGCTCTGGCTGTCCTGGAACTGGCTATGCAGACCATCCTGGCCTTGAATCCACAGAGATCCATACCTGCCTCTACCTCCTAAGTGCACCACCATGCCAGACTTAGTCATCCTCTTGTTCTGCAGCAGCAGCCAGCTGCCTTGGTCAGCGATGAGGCTTGCCCCTGGGCTATGGCCTGCCTTTGTGGGGTGAATACACCCACTTTGCTGAGTGGGCTCCTGTGGCAACAAGTCACAGGGCAGGGAAAGCACATGGGGAGGGAAGAGCTTCTTCGAGTTCCTCAGCGAATGCACGTGCAGACTTTAGCAGGCACGTGGCTTTGGTACACCAAGTCCAATGAGGGCCCTTGATTCTCTGTGAGACCAGAGGCTGAATACTCAGGGAACTCTACAACAACCTTTAGGCTTGCCTCAGAGCAAAAGAGGTCTTTGTGGAGAGGAAAGTGGGGACCCATGACATGTGCCCACCTTGGCTTTCATTTCATATTAATCCCCCAGGCTCATCACTGATTGAGAAGTCAGGAGATAATCTTCAGCCATAATACTTGAGCCTATTTTAGGGCGCTTCACCAGGAAAAAAACAAAAACAAAAAAAAAAAACCAGCTGTAACTATCAGGCAGGGCCTTGAGCTTATGAGACTGGGCTAAGATGAGACATCAATTATCTCTTAGGGCACCATGAAGTGTTCTGATTTCCAAAATCCTGATTTGCTAGATCAACTCCAAATGCCCCAGGCTGAGTTATGAAGAAGTCTATGATGCATATACTGTTTTTGTGAGAACTGACAAAATTAAAACAGACTTGGTACCCAGGGCTGTGCCTGACGTCATTACTATAACAGGTTTCTGAACCCACTAGCAGGCAACATAGTAAGGACAAAGACAGGGCACAGTGACACTTCACTCTAAAGGAAACAGTCGTCTTGTGTGGGTGGAGTTCGGCCCCATCTATTCTCACACTCTGAAGAAGAGTGGGGAGCACTGTCCATCTCCAGGACAAGTTAAACTGATACTATCGTTAGGCCCTGTATGAGCCCTGAAGTCCTCACAGGACTGTCCTTAAAGGTCATGACTTCTCTTTCTTGGTGTGGACCTCAGACTCCAAGAACTGTAGTCATGATTCATGAATCATCTATCACATCAGTGGTCATCACTGATCCAACACTGCCTTTTTCTTTCACTTTCCATAAAAGGTATGACTTTCAATAACAGCAACTTGTAAACTGATACACACATGAAGAAAAACTCAAGAATACAAGCATGTTAAAAAGTGCTTCTGGGCCGGGCAGTGGTGGCACATGCCTTTAATCCTAGCACTCGGGAGGCAGAGCCAGGCGGATCTTTGTGAGTTCGAGGCTAGCCAGGTCTACAGAGCGAGATCCAGGAAAGGCGCAAAACTACACAGAGAAACCCTGTCTCGAAAAACCAAAAAAATAAATAAAAATAAAAATAAGTAAGTAAATAAAAAGTGCTTCTGTCCCCTTACCCCTTATGGCTGTGTCTGGTTCTTTATTTTAGATTGTCATTTGCATCCTCCTCCCAACTCATAAAATCATCAGATGAAGTACATAAAAATTTGGGGGAAAATTTCAGACTAATCTCATTTTATGCCATCTTTCCTGCTCAGTTTTGGTAAGTACCTTTTCCTTAACACAACTGGGATTGTCAACTAAATTAATTCTGTACCCTACTCCTCACCTTCTGTTAAAACGGGGTCTTACCAGGTAACTCTGGCTGGCCTGGAGGGGACAACATAGATCAGGCTTGACCTTGAATATATAGTGACTCTGCCTCTGCCTCCCAAGTGCTAGGATTATAGCTGTTTGCACCATGTGCCCCTGCTCACTGTATTGAGCACTATTCTACTATGGAATATATTGCTCTATGGATGGAAGTACCATCATTTACTTAATTCTTCTTCTGGTTAATGAGACTATGCCCTTGATTTTGCTATTACAGGGAGACATCACACTAAGTATCTTCAGCCCTAAGCCACATGGACTGTGGCCCAATGACAGGTTAACAAGGATGTTAACATTTGAGGAATCTGTGGTAAGTTGCCAAACTGCAAAGAGACCCTGCACTACTGCTACTGGAATGAAGCAATGGTACTGACACTTGTGGCATGACCAACAAGCATATGGATGCCTGCTCCTCAAAGAGCACATCATATCACATGGAGTAGCTGAGGCTGTGGCTCCCTAGTGGCCTCTCCTGGGAGGAGGATACTAGGTCTGAAGCATCTGCAGAGCCACTGATGGCTCTAGCACAGAACACAAGGGCATCAAGTGAGGAATGGATGCTTCCAGAACAAGAAACCTTTGCCACAGTGTGTGGATACAGCATTGTCAAGCCCAGTGGCATCTTTGTAACCTACATCAGCCCAGAGTTGCTCTTAGGCAAGGTTTTAAGAGAAGGTTTCCAGAGCCTTTCTTCCCACAACTCCTCATTAGAACTGTAATTTACAGTCTATTAGGGCAGGGTCTCACTTTATTCTGAAACAAGTGTCATTATTCCTATGTTATGAAGGATGAAAATGATGCTCAGAAAAGTTGAGGGGCTGGTTCCAGGGCTCCTAGTCCTCCAGGGCACCAAACACAAAGCTAGCAGAAGAGAGTGTCATGAGACTGCATGGAGGACACGGAGGAAGCCAGATCATCAAGAGTGGATCTGAAGACCATTAGCTTGTCTGATGAAGACATCTCTCACAAGGAGCTAGCTGAACTTGCAGTTCTATGAGAGGCTATTGCAGCCTGCTCTTGCTGTTGGCTATGTGGGGCTTAGACTAGGAAGTAAAGTCCAAGCCCAAACTGAAAGAAGTCATTAGAGGTGGGAGAGGTTTCAAGGAGGGAGGACACTCCTTGCTGTGATTGACAAAGCCTGGCACTGATGTTTAGTGACCAGGCAGGGATGGTGGGGGAACTAGAGTACTACACAGCTCCAGTTTCCAGTGTGAGAATACAGCCTGGCCACAGACAGATGATTGTGTGGCAGAGATGCAAAGTGGCTCTGTGGATACCAAAGTGCTCTGCAATATTGGGAGGTCACTATACAATTAATGATGACAGAGCACGTTTTGCTTTTCTGCCCCACTAATGGCATTGTCTAGGGTGATATCCACAAACAGCTCTTGACACACACGAGAAGACACACACCATATGGGCCAAAGCAGCATGAATGAACATGTCATTTCCTCTTACGTGCATAGGCCATATGGATATGCAAGATTTAGTCCTTTATGACAAACTTTTCCAAGTCCTAACTGATACTTGAGGGAACCTGAAGCTCACAGAAGAACTAACTTTCTCGAGGTTTTGGCTTATGAATACCAAGACCAGGTCCCACCCCTGACCACCACTCCCTGGAGAAACATACAACTCAGCAGGATCCTACCTGACCCTCAAGTATGACTGCTGTGACCTGGGGCCCCAATGTCCAATGATGCCTGATACAGCTCCTCCCAAACAGCTCCCAGGACACCTAGGCACAGGAGGTTTGACCCTGGTCTCCTACCTGGATATGGGACAGAGAGGAGAGTGAAGTCTGCATAGCGCTGGGCTTTGTCCACTTTCTCAGAGGAGGTTACACTACAAGACAGGGACACACTGTGTTACGGCACTCCAATACGCGCACACACACAAAGACAGTTTCCCGAATGAGTGTTACAATTTCTTACAATGAACTTTCTGCTAAAAAGCTGTCCTTCAGACTTAGGAATGACACCCTCAGCAGCAACCAATTAAGAACTCTTCCCTGTGCCCACTTCAACAACTCAAATAAGAGGTCTTTTTCACTCTAACAAAGTAGCAGGCCTCAGCCAGTACCCAGGGTTGGAGGATAACCTTCCATATCATCAGCTCCATGGAGGCATGAGGCACATCCACTCTTGGTCCTGAGGGTGGGACAGTCGGACAGTAGGAAGGACTTCTCTACCTCCAAAGGCCACTCCTAAACATGGGAACATGTAGCAGAGTAGTTGCACACTTGTCATCCCAGGATTTGGGAGGCAGAGCCAGGAGGATCCTCACAAATTTAGGGCCAGTGTAGGCTACATAGTGAGTTCAAGGCCAGCTTGGGGCATATTTCAAGACACTATCTCAAAAATACAAAGAGCAAAATAAAGTAAAATAACAAACAAAAAGCAAAATAAAACCAAAATAAAACCCCCCACAAAAAATACAAAAAATAATCGAGGCCAGGAAGATGCTTAGCTGGGAAAGTACTTGCTATGCCTGCATGAGGACTGGAGTTCAGATCCCCAGCATCTACGGGAAAAGCTGTAACTGCCTGCAAACACTTGTAATCACAGTGCTGTGAAAGGAGAGAGAGGAGGATCCGCTGGCTTTCTAGCCAACAAGGCCAGCTGAACTGGTCAGCCTCAGGTTTAGTGAAAGACTGTCTTGAAAAGTCAGGTGGAGAATGACTGGGGAACGTATCTAATGTAAATCTTTGGCCTCCATGAGCATTAGCACATATGTGTATGTGTGTATGAAGGCACATCAGGACTGTTTCAAAAATGCAGTGAGAGGCTGCACACAGACAGCCCTCACACCAGCCCACCATGCCAGAACGGCCATGCACTGTGGGCCAGCCCTGCACATCGTGGACACTCAGCCTGAGCCTGCTTCCTGCCAGATGTCCTGTACTCACTTCATGCCAAACTTCACCTTCTTGTTCTCCACCATCAGGTCACAGATGTACTTGACTGATAGGTATCGAAGCAGCCTGATATCATAGCCTCTCACCTTATCAAAAAGGTGTGTGTCACCACTTCTGAAATAAATAGTCAGAGAAAGGGGTTGAGATCCATGTTGACTCAGAGCATATGGAGTAGGGAGCTATTTTAGGAAGTATGGATGAAAACCTGTGTTCGATTCTCCAGAAGTCAGAGGGAGGGGTAGGGAAGGTGACTTTCTAAGAGATTATCCCTATCTCGGGACATGTTTCAAAGAAGAGCAATTTGCAGCCAGAGTGGGAAAGGGCTTTCTGCACTGCTTGACATTAAGCCAGAAGACTCAAGATAATCTCAGTTCTAAAAGGCATCGGGCTGGTGGCTCAGGCTCTTTAAGCTTCCATTAAGAGTTCATCTCAACCTCTCTTTTCCTTCCATTTAGGACCATTTTTAGCCATATGCCTTACAAATATAACAGACAAATTCTTCAACAGATAAAGATTTTTTAGGGTTATTTGACCAACTTATTGTAAAATACTAGGAAAGTAAATTCTTTCTACTTATTAGGCCTTTAAAGCAAGGAGGAATATTACAAACAAACAAACAAAGCCTTAAAATTCTGAGGCTACTTTCTGTTCAGCCATGCAGATATGGCCCAGGAGAAAGAGTAAATAGTCACTGCAATGTGTTTTTAATGCCTGCTTCTTGGTCACTGCCAGCAGTCAGTTGCCTCCCTGAGAACTGTATGCTGTAGATGACCTGGCCAAGGCAGAAGTCACCTGAACTCAAGGGAAGCCAAACATTCTTGAGCATAAGCCAGAGCTACTGCTTTCCATGCCAATTGCAGGACTTGGGCATAGCAAAGTACCTGAGCCACAATATGAGCTGCTGATCTGACTAGAGTGCTCATGTGCATTCCAGAGATGCTGGATACCAGCTAAAGACTTTCCATGTGGTAGCAACCACACAAAGGAGATTTGTAGGCTTGTTCATTAAAAACTGTATGAAAGGGGTAGAGTGTGAACCAGCCCATTTTTTCCTTTTAAAGGAATTCAGTTCAGCGCTGCATGTCTATAATCCTAGAGCTTGGGAAACGGTGACAGGACCAAGAGTTCAAGGTCATCCTTGGCTACATAGACGTTCAAAGCCATGTTGGACTACACAAGACCTTGTCTCAAAATGCAAAAACAAAGCCAGCCATTGTGATTTTATGAAACCATCTCAAATGCTGCCCCCACCCCCAAACACACACACCAAAGAAAAAAGAAGGGTGTGTGTGACTCAATGCAATTGTGGGATACAGTGGCTACAAGAGGACTTTATCCCAACCCTGTCACACAGCACACCTGGAAGGTTCATACTTAGCAGACCAGCTGCATACTGCCACTGTAGAGGGCTCTAAACAAAGACACGTAGGGCTGACTTTAGACTTGCAGCACAAGAACCCTGAGGTCATCATGTGTTGTGATCCTGGCTGTCAACTGCTCAG